TTTGATTTTCACATAAAACCTTGTTATTTATATACAGATCTGTCTTTCAACATTTTCAGAAGCTATCTCAAAAAATCATTTAGGATATTGGGTTTCCTGGCTCCTCTCCAAGTTCTTCCTCCCGCATTTAAGTCTTCCTGAGCAGAGGATTTAAACTGAAGTAGAAAGCTTTCTTCTCCTAGATTTTTAAGAGATGTTTTAGAAATCTCAGGAAAATTTGGCATATGCTTCACAGTAAAGTCTGGGGACTGTATTTCTGGTTCTCAGTTAACTAATGTTCAGAGAATTAGGCCTTAGAAGAAGCATGGATAAGGGATACTTGAAATCAACCAAACTTACAGCAAAGGTTACTTACTGGTTTGTGTTTTTTGGGAGTCTGATTTGTGTCTTAAAACAACTAGCAAGGTTTCTTGGCCCTGTGAATATGTAATTCTGTTCTTGAATTAAAGAGAAACACTTTGCTCATGTGGTTTAGAAAGGTTTCCTTTTCTGGTTGTTTTCAGAGTGTGTGAAGCACTACATTGTGAAGGTCAGAGAAGTCATGACACACTGTGGGTAAGCTCATCAGCTCCTTACTTCACAGTGAGTTCAGAAGAGCATGAGGCAGGCAGTCCAGTAAGTGATGGTCATGATGTTCTGCTGCAGAACATTTGGGTTTCCCTACAGGTGTAATCAGTATGAAGTGAGTCATTAGTCATCACATTTTCTGGAAGAGTCAGAAGAGAAAAAGTTTAGGGTGAAATTGAATACAATGTTATAATTCACTTTTGTCATTCATAGAAGAGGATGATGTTCTGCATCAAACTTGTTTACTGTAGCCTGGTTCTTATGCTAAGAACTGACTAGTAAAGAACAGAATGAGACTGTATGGTTTTCCCATTCTTGATTTATTATTACAGTGGGCATTGCAATAGGAATTACAATGGAAATGTGTGAGGATGCTTTGTGCAAACATGTCCTTTCATATGGTTTTAAAAAATCTGATGGGGTAGGTTATGGAGATAGTGGTGGTAAAGGGCACTGTAGAGAGCTAAGTGGCCAGTGAAAGGGATGTGATATGTGGAAACTATGAGTACCATGAGTTAAGTGGGCCAGAAGGAAGGTACTGGGAATTTCCTTACTTAGGGAACTGGGCACCCATTCACTGGTCTGCTTAAAGGCTCAAATGACTTAGTTGATATCACTGATTTGCAATATGTGGGCTAAAAGGGAGGAGCAGGAAGGTGATTTCCATGCAACAGAGGGAAATTAAATTTCCCAGGCAGAGATGGTTCAAAAAGCAGAGATTTGGCATAGACAAGACAATACAAGTACTATAGTATTTGCTAATGTTGTGAAACCATCTGCAAATTCAAACTGTCAGTAAATATACCAGATATATTCCTCCTGCTTCAATAAAAATATCTACTTCTTTGTGGGCTAAAGAGTTTACTGAATGGAGGTTTGAGTCAAGGTTCAAGGCTTGAGCATCAGAAAGGTAGATGTGCCAGGAATTTTTTTTTTTTTTTATCCAAAATGGTAGTGTTGACCATTTTGGATAAAAAAATATTTTCACCTCTGGACAATTGATGGGATGAAAAGGAGTTGATACATTAGAGACTTGAAATACAGGGACTTTCATGATTTCCAACAAATATTTTCTTACAACCTGTTCCTGGAAGGTCAAGGTTTAGCCCCAAAGGTCTTGGGTCATTCTGCCTCCCGGAGGGCACAGGTGAGACCTTTCCACACTGAAGATTTCCCTGGTTCCTCTAATTTTTCCAACTCAACATTCCTTGTGGGAAAAACTTCACCAGTCCGGGAAGTCTTGGAGGAGGGTGTATGGGTGAGAAGTGGGGGTGTTGGAAAGAAGACTTGAAATTCCTTCGTGTTATCTGCAAATAGAAAGTTCTACTGTCCTCCCCAACCCTGTGCCCCCCTTTTCAATTATATATAGGCGATCAGGAGGTTTCTCTCATGCTCTTACTCTCAGTTACCTTAGGAAGATCTAAAACCCCCCTTGGGAGAGAAACTGAGTAAGAACAAAATAGTATTAGAAGGCTCTTCCCCCTTGTTTGCCCTTCCCCATTCTCCTAACTCCTTTCCTTTCTTCTTTCTCCCAGAAAGGGCCCTTAGTGGAGAGGCCTTTGGATCCATAGCCCAGGCTCCGCCCTACACCTCCAGCCAGGCTGCCATCTGCATTCGTAATTAACAAGTGTACCTGACCGGAGTTTCCTACCCTGTTCTCATTGGGACACCTCGTGCGTGTGTGCAGGGTGGCTCCCAGTCTCTCTAGCCTGGCGTCTCGGGCTGATGGGTGCCCTCCTCCTCGACGCTCCGGGAAGAGCCCAGACACAAAGCCCTCCACACTCCCGCCCCAGGCAGCCTTAACCCTCCCACTCTTGGGAGGAGGAGTTGGGGGAGGTAGTTTTGGTCATTTGAGACTTCACTCTCCATCCAAAAGAAAGCCGAGATCTGGGTGGAGGCTTGAGCAGGAGGGCTGCAGCCCCAGGCTCCCGCAGTTCGCAGACCCCTCCCGCCAGTGCTCAGCTTCTAGTTCCTCCACTCTTTCCGCGTTCTTGGCCTCTGCGGGACCAGGGGCCCAAGGCCAGAACTGTCAAGATCAGGAACAACTCCTCGCTAAACTAGCCTAGTTAAACACAGCCTTTGGCAATGGGGGGGGGGGAATCGACCGGACGATCCTGCTGGGGGTTTCAATATCCTCAAGCAACTGTGGGGCGGGGCTGGTGAGTCTTTAGATTGAGCTGAGCAATAGATTATGGGTCTCCAAAGCCTGATTTTTCTGAGGCCAGTGATCAAGGCTCTCAAGTCCTCTGCTTATACTTTTATTCCAGCAAATGGGCTCCCGGCTTTAGGATTGTGATTTTGGGGTGCTGGGCCCCGAGTTCGTATAAGCGTACCTCAACCGAGAGGAGTGCAAGAGGCCACAGCTTTTGTAAGCTAGAGAGACATGGTTCAGATCTCTAGGGGCCCTTGGAATCAGCAATTGAACCACCTCACCAAGTTATTCTTGTTTGTGATTTTCCCCCTTTCATAGGCCGTGAAGTCAACAAACTCCCCACACGGTGGCTCCCTTTACTAAAGCTGAGTGAATTGCACAAGGAGTCTTGGAAATTTTCAAATTTTCTCCAGATTGAACTCATTTCGGAATTCGCGTGGGAGGAAAGAGTAAGGATTTTAATGGGGTTCACCTTTGACGTGAAGCAAGGCGGAAGACAGGAAAGCCACAGTAGGTAATAGCTTTTGGGCGCTTTAGTAAGAAAGGCTTCTCTGCTTGATTATCCGGTGGTGTTCACCGCAGGCTCTTTGTGTGGGAGCAGAGGCAGAACTGAATAGCGAACACACGCATGTAAACACTCCGACATAAATCAACGGACATGTGCAGCCAAGACAAAGAGATTCATCCCTATGTAGATATGTTTTAAGTTTTATTGAAGGCAGGAAGCCTAGAGCATAGCTAGGAAGAAACTGAGGAAGCAGGCAATTTTGGTCCACTCCTGGCCAGGAATAAGTACAACTTTATCTTTTTGGAGGAAGTATTAAATCTCAAATAAGAGCGGGAATGGCATTGAGAATGAGAAGCATTATGTTTTTGGAAAAGCATACAGAACTAATACAGCTTATTTAAATGTTAGATTCAAATCATAGTAACAGGAAACACTCCCACTTAATTGTCAGACTCTAATTTTTGTGTTAGATCCAAATAATTAAAATGCACATTAATGTTATGGATGTGATTCCCTTTAAAAGGAAGTAGACCCGAAATCTCTTACTGGAGTAAAAATTTATGAATCTTTTTGATTACAGGGACTTGGAAGTTCAGGGTGAATGTGCTCTTCCCTTATTGCTTTTCTCTTCATACGTCATTTTCAGTTAAAAAAAATTAACCATTCCCAAGGGAGGGATTTCTATTAGAAATCCTCAGCAAGTGAACTTGTACTGGGAATCCTCCTGTTTTCCAGTCTGGCTGTATTTCCCCAAACAGAATTCAACTTGTAAAGTAAGTGTAAAAAACATTTCTCACCACCAAACTCTTAAAATTTCAATTCTTGTGGAAAACATGATGTCGCAGTTTCAATTTTTAAAATCAGTAAGAGCCACAGAAAGTGCGAAGGTGTACAAACAGGAAAAAACTAGAGATCCAGGACTGAGAACAGATTTCTCTTTACTGAATTCTAAGGCAGGGATGGAGATGGTTGTCAGCATTAGGACATTCATGAACATTGCAAGGGTGTTGTATCTGAACAGCAGAGTGATTTAGACAATGAATTGCTACATTAATAGCACCACTGCCAAGTCTTCAGATTGAGAGGCTCTGGTGAAAATTAAACTGGTGGCAATTTTCAACATTTGTAGCATCTGCGCCCAAACAGTTCAGCACCTAGAGTATGGACAGCTCCACAGGCCGGTTCCTGAAGTGGCCTTAGCTCTAATCAATCTACTGGTAGCCAGACTATCAACCACAGCCAGACGCATTAGAAATTTACTGAAAATCCTCCAAGACTTCCCTTTAAAAACAAAACGACTTCCACATTTAATTGTCTATTTGAAAGAACATACGCAAGAAATTAGGAGATCTAAATTAAATTTATTAATAGGAGAGCTTGATGGTGCTTCATTCCAGAGATCAGAGCTCCCATTGGTAAGGCTTGATGAAAAAGTAAAAGAGAAACAGTAGGGATATAGTTAAAAACATAACTTTTACCCTCCTAGAAATTCTACCAATTCTTTACCTGTCCTTGAGAAATGGGTGAAATTGAAAACCATCAAAATAATTGGACTTCTTAAAAATTGGATTGTATGAGTGAAAGGTGTTTATGAGAAGTCGATGACTCCGGATCTTATCATCCTAGAGGACAGCACAGAATAGTTAATATGTTCCTTGAGGGACTGGGATGCTGACGTCTTTTTCTGATACTCGATCATTACGTGACTGAAAAAAAAAAAAAGAGGAAGTCACTTCATGAATAAAAATCGGAGCGCAACAGTGCAACAAAATATTCTGTACTTAAAGGCAAGAGGCAGACAGATGTTGGCAAAGAGGGTTCTCCTAAAACCATGTTCGGGTAGATTTTTTGCTAACTGCATATATAAATACGAGCAGACGTCCGGTCACCTCTGTAACCACCGGCAGCAGCAGAAGAAGCCGCATCTTCAGACGCAGCCAGAGGGACCTCAGAGCAGAGAAGGAGCTGCCTGACTCTGGAAGCTGCCTGACCGGGCAGCCCGGCTGCACGGCCGGCTCTCTCTTTTTCCTTCCTCCCCTTCTTTGACTTTCCCTCTTTTCCTCTATCACTTGCTTCTTTCTCCCGGCGGACTTAAGCGCCACTCCGTTCCCCCTCCCTTAGGCTCGTCGCTTCCTCTTGATTATACATCTCTCCAAGTCACGCTCCCTCCTAGTTCTGAGTCTACAAACTTTTGAACGGAATACTAGCCCCAGCAAACAAGTCCTCCAGCTCCTCCTGCTGCTTCTCCTCAGACACCAACGCCAGACAGTGATGCCTCTCGGGTTGTGATTCCAGCTCAGAAACTTGAAGGAGCCCTTTGCCCGCCATCCTTTTTGGCAGCAAACCCTCTCATAGCAGCGGTAAGAGTTGAATAATAAGGGGGAAAAAAATCTCACCAAACCAAACGACTCACTTGACTGCTGATTTTTTTTTCTTTTTCCCGCCAGCATTGGCATCAGGGTACGAATTAGCTTTTCTTGTACCAGGTCTGTCTAGTTATCGGGAGCTGGGTGTATGCAAACATGTTTTCTTTCTAACTATAGCAATCGAGAAGTGGCAGGGCGCGCGCTGGCTGTCGCTAAGTGGTATTCAACGCAGGGAGCAGAAGCTGCGCTCCCTCCCCCTGCTCCCGGAGTTTCTTGGGGTCGCAGGTTAGAAGGCCAGGGGCGTTCTCACGGTTGTGTGTCCTCTTTTCCATCCTGCGCAGAATGACCATGTGTAGCGGAGCAAGGTTGGCCCTGCTGGTCTATGGGATAATAATGCACAGCAGCGTCTACTGCTCACCTGTCGCCGCCGGACTCCGGTTCCCCGGGATCAGGTAGGTGCTGGGCGCCTGTGTTGAGCTGGGGCTTCCCTTTGCCGAACACTTTCTGACGGTCGCCCTCCTTCAGTTCCCCGGGTACAGGCTACTAAGCATTGTTCCCCGTATCCCCAGTTCTCTCTGTCAATCTTGGCTGGGCCCGGGGTCCTGGCCCTAGCTAATCCTCAGGGCCAGGCAGGCTCCACAACGGCTCGGCACCCCTCCCCCAACCTTACGCATTCCTGGGACCCGGGTACCGCGAGTGAGCTTCCGAGTGTTGGAGAAACCTCCCTTCCTCCAACCTGGCCCGAGGGGGGGGCAGGGCAAGGTCCCCAGCTTGGCTTCTTTTACCTATTCTTAGGACGAGTTCGGAGAACATCGGTTCCCAACGCTAGTCAGGGGGATGAATGTGAAGCTCCCTGGACTTTGCTTTGTTACAGCGCTTTCTGACTATTGGGGCGGGGTCTCTCTCCCCTCCGCCCTTCCTCTTCACCTCATTCGAATTCTTTCTCCTCAAGAGCTTTCTTTCAAGGGATCCATGTTCCAATTGCATTTTGTGTCCCAGACTGTCTTGGGGAGGGCAGTGTTGGCAGTTTATTATGGCTAAGAAAAAGCAACTTGAGAAAAGAACAAGAATGAGCCTGCGAGGGAGGGGGAGAAACGGATGCAAAGAAGGAGGAAGAGAAAGCATGCAGGCAGACAGCCTTGCCTAGCCCAGGGTGGAGGAAGCCTGGCTTTTCCCCTTAACCCCCGGTTTCTAATCGGATGGCACAGCCCGGGTTCCCCATCGCAGCCCCAGAGGACCCCCACCGATGTGCGGGATAGTGAAAACGCGTTGGGCAGCGCAGAGTCTCGGTGGCACTCCGGGCAGTGAGGAGGGTAGCTCTTCCCAGCCGCGCCCAAAACGTTTGGCTAAGGGGGCGGCCGACCGTTGTTTTGGCGGTAGAGATGGGTTCTAGCTACAGTGTTAGGATTCCAGCCTCTAGGTACAGGGCAGGACAAAAGTGGTTAAAAAGACCTGGTTCGGGAGTACCAGGGCCAGGGCTGAGGCGCGTCGCCAAGAAAAGACGGGGTGTGGCGCGTGCTGAGGGATGTGCTTGCCTTGGTCTGGCCTCTCCAGGGATGGAGGAAAGGCAACCAGAGTAACAAGTAGGACTCCAGCCCTGACTAGGGAGAGCTACTTGTCCTGGTAGAGTCTCTCCAGCGGCCCAAAGCGATGGGGCTTTGAGCTTTAACCCACCTCTTCTGCCCAATATCAAGGATGGAGGCGGTATGTGAGGGAGACTGTGACGTCCCCAGGTACCCGCGATGTCGGTCCCCTGTTGACCTGTGCTCTGGTGTTGAGATGGGGTCCCTCCGCCCCGCCATCACTAACAGATTAGCGTTAACTATTTATTTAGTGTACTTAAAAGCCTTCTTATTTCACCTCCAGCTATTTTCAAAGTTGTGTATGCCTGGCACTTTCCCGGGGTGAGAGGCACCGGAGGGCATGTACACAACACAGAAAGAGCCGCCACCAAACCGGCTAAGTTTAGGGGCATCTATTATTCATGTTCCTGCCAGATCCTTTCAGGCCCAAAATAGAAGCTGGAGGTTCTCCGTGACCTACATCCGTGCAGGGAAGGGCTCCCCTGGGCTCAGAGGCTCGGGTGGGGGTGGCTGCCAGAGTTAGCCGCCACACATACCACCCCCCCTACCCACCTAGCCTCTCCATTCGGCTCTGGGCCTCTCCCCCTTGGGGTCTTCGCGTTGGTCAGTGTCTAATCTCCTAGAACTTTTTTTCGTCCCAGACTGTTAATACTTTGGGGAACCTCGGGTGCTGGGAGGGCACAATTCTTTCTAGTGGCCAGGTACGCATGATTAGCAGAGACTAAGGTAGACTAAGGTAGCATGATTAGCTGAGACCCGGTTTCCCAGGGCTCCTGCAGGGCAACCCTTTTGCCAGCAGAGGGGTGGGCAAGCTTCCTCGTGGAGTAGGAATTTCGGTTGGATGTACTTCCCTCCTCCTTACCATTACCCCCACCCCTGCCCGGGAAGAAAAGACAGATCTCTTTAGGGGACCTTTAGGAGGAAGGAAAATCAGTGCGATCTCCCCTCTTTGGGTCCTCGCAGAGCTGGGAGGACTTGTAATGACCACTCTTTCTGGCTACCTCGCAGTCCTGAGGATGAGGCTTACGACGAGGACGGAAACTCGCTGCAGGACTTTTACGACTCGGACCCGCCCGGCGCAGGGAGCCCCGCCTCTGCGCTGCATGACGCCTACGCTCTCTACTATCCAGCGGAGAAGAGGTACGTCCCGCGCGGCCTCCGCCGCAGCCCTGGACCACGAGCCCTAGGACCAAGGTGGTGGGTAGGGGTAGGGTGGTGGCCCACAGAGTACGTCCGTTTTCATGAAAGTCCTAAAGTCTCTCTTTTGCCTGGCCCGATCCCACGAGACCGAAGGGAAAATAGGAGCTGGAGGATCTGTGTGGACCTAAGGACCGCGTAGGGACCGAAAGGTCTGTGGCCCGAGGAATGTCAGTGAGTGCGGGCCTCGGTAGATGGGGAACGCAGACTCCTGATCTGCCACCTTCCCAGGTCAGATCTAACTCTAGATCCCAGCATTCACTTTCGGGAACTTCTTAAGAGAGTTAGTCTCAAGTTCCTTGCCTCTAGGCGTTTCCCGGTCATCCTGCTTGAATGCCGAGAGGCGCGCGCGCCCAGCAATGGGGTCTTGGGCTGCCACGGTGGGAGCGCGAGGCAGTGACCATGGGCATAAATTTTGCCTCCCGTTAGAGATGTCGCCCAAGGGATCCTTAACAAGGCCTACCGCAAAGTGCTGGACCAGCTGTCTGCCAGGAAGTACCTGCAATCCCTCATGACCAAGAGTGTGGGGTAAGAGTTGGTGAAAGAGTTAACCCGCGCGCAAGGGTGCGCGCGCCGGGGTGGGTGATTGTGGAACGCGCGCGGGGTGGGAGGGGCAGTTTCTACGTCTGTGCGTACCGGTGAGGATCGGGGTGCGTCTGAGCCCTGCCGTGTGGGGGTACTCGCCGCCAGCAACAGGCAGAGGTTTTGAAGTGGCATGTTTAATTTGACAGGAGAGACGGAGATCAGGTGAGAGCGGAAAAGAGAAGGAAAACGGCGGATTTTGATCCGTTTTGAATGAAAAGAAAGAGAAACCAAACGAAACCCCCTAGTCATTCTAAACCTTTAAGGTTCTCGGGAGGATTTGCTATAATTTCCAATGAACGCGACATTTTTTCGGGGGAGGGGCATTGTGTTTATTATAAATTCAAATCGAAGTAAACAAATCACTAAATTTGGACACTTAGGGAAACAGTTTTTGCTCACGCCAGACAAACCCAGAGCTTAGGGCTTGCGTGAAGCCTGCCTCAGCAGAAGGCAACATTTTAATAAAGCTCACGGGAAAACAGATTACATTTTCGCAATGAATAATTCATGCGGTGAAAAATATTGCCTACAGCCTGTCGACTTATATTATTATCACGTTTTTCAACTTAGCGTGCGGAAGGAGAGGAGTGCTTGTATTTGACTAGGAAATGCGGGATCGATATAAACACCAGGGTAGCAGCCAACGTGGCATTTAGGGCCTTTTGGTTATTTTCTTTGTATATCAGGGATGAGAGGAACAGTTAGGGAAATCGAGCGCAATCGTAACGATGGCCAAATCTTAAAAGGCAGCCTTTGGAGAGACTTAGATCATGGGCCATCTTCCCTGATCTCTTTTTTTTTGGGGGGGCCCTACTGTAGGAATTGGTGCCTGGAAATCCTGGGTGGTAGGGAGGGCCTGGGGGGGCTTCCATCACAGCCCTTTCCAAAGCCGCTCCCTGGCAGAGAGAAGGCGGCGCGGTGGCCAGTGCGAGCCCCTTGTCCCCCCCTGGAGACTCCCGCGTGGGGTGGGGCGCGTCTGCTCCCGCAGGTCTTGAATCTGTATCTCCCGCCTGGTCACCCTTTTCCCGACCCCTTTCCTTGCAGTGGGAACCTTGGCGGCGGCGCGGAGGAGGACTGGGAGCCGCTCTCCAAGCGCCACTCGGATGGAATCTTCACAGACAGCTACAGCCGCTACCGGAAGCAAATGGCTGTCAAGAAATACTTGGCGGCCGTCCTGGGGAAAAGGTATAAACAAAGGGTTAAAAACAAAGGACGTCGAATAGCGTATTTGTAGCGATGAGTTACTTACTACCCTGTGTATACAACCCTGACACAGTGAAAAGTCGTTTTCCAAACTGACTGAAGTCATCGCTCATGTGTTCTATCCAAACATGTATTTATGTATGAAGTAAAGCCATTAAATGAATATTTTGATAATAATATTGTTTTTCTTTTTACAAAGCACTAGAGAATGCACAGATATACTTTGTGGACCAATATATATTATAAGTATATATATTAAGAATATATATAAGTATAATAGAGAGCAACTCATACAAAGTGTGCACAAGGATTGAAAATTTGCCTGAGCTGTTTATGTTTTTATATAAAATAAATAGAAAAATAGACAATCATTGTTTTGAATATTACTCCTATTTTTGTAAACTGGAATTAAAAGGATAGTATTTTTATCCACGACAGGCCTGAAGATATTAATATTGACCATTTGCTACTGTACATAAACAATGATGCCCTGCTCCAGGGGGATTTTGAGGTAATGATTTGGAGAATTGCTGGAGGGCATTCTTTCCCAGTGAGTCTCTGGGGCAGGCTGCTTCAATCCCAGCCTAATATATTCAAGTGGGCACTGTCCCACTGGCTGGGGGGCAATTCCAATATTTTCGCTTTCTTTGATTCTACTTTTATGTGTATTTGTCTCTCTTCAGACTCTCAGCCCAGAAGGAAAATTCTAATAAAACAACAGCTCAATCCAAATTGTGCTTCTCCCCAGAATTGATTCCCTTCCCTGGATGAAGAGTGAAGGGACTGTACAGAGAAGGGGAGCTTGGGTAGGAAGCTCTCTTTTCTGTACTTCCTGATTCACCAGGGAACCAAATATCCCAAGGCTAGGGCAATTGGAACAAAAATGAAGGAAATAGAGGTATATTGGAAGAGGCAGAGCATAAGGCAGTAGGAGGAGACCCTGGAGCGGGACTGGTATGAGGCTCCCCAAGTCTGGGAAGCTGGGAGTGAGTCCAGTCCCACCACAGGTCCACTGCCTGCCTGATTTTTGGGTGCTGGGTATTGGAAACGGATGCAAAGTACAATGTGTTTTTCTCCAGTGCTGTCCATGCTTCTCATCTTGTGAAATGGCCAGGATTCTCCCCGCCTCTGAACCCAGCTCTGTAGAAGCCACCCTTTTCCTTTGTGGTTTTTTGAAGACCCTTTCTTCCCACCCTCCTGCACTGTTTAAGTACTGTTTACCATTTTTTTTCATTCACTTATCTTAAACTTGTGAATGCTTCTGTTTTTTGTTGTTGTTTGATGCAAGCAGTTATTGTAAAGTTTAGGAACTCCTGTGTAGCTACCACTAAGTAATTATGCACTAAATATGAACCTTTTGTTTCTTGTTTATTGAGTTTGTAGGTAAAATGTATTTTTCTACATTATGGCTTATTGCTTAGTAAAATTTATTTCATAAAACCAATCTTTGTCATAATAGAATGTGTAGTGTTCACATGTTGCTCAGTTTTACTAACTGATAAATCATTTAAACCTCATCTTTCTATGTATGAGTACTATCTTATATCTGTGGTCAAGAATGAGGTAAGCAAGCTCCCTAAACCACCCTTGTATCCTTTCTTGGCTAAAGAAAGCATGTCTGTTTCCTGTCAATTCCTTGAACATATAGAGTAATCTTTATAAACAAAAGAACCTTCACCCAGCAACCAGATCAAGCAGCAACAGATTAACCAGTCAGTCCATCTCCCAAATTTCAGGCACAAATTTTTAGGAAAAAAAGAAAAAAAAAATAAAAAAAATAAAAAAAATTAAGCATTAGTTTTTAAAATTTAAAGGATCTTTCCTTTTCCTTTATGGATTTGATCAGTATGAAGTCAGACATCAAAGAAAACAATTGTATTTCCATTCCCAAGGCGGGATGGATGCTGCCAGGAGATCACATTGCAAACAGTAAAAACAGAGAGGCATTCGATCTATGCCTGAGTCCTGCGTATAGGATCAATCTTTCTTGAATTCCGCAGTCTCCTCAGGCAATGTGACACGGGATGCAGTTTGCAGCTTTAGTGCCTTTCTTCGCCTTTTAAATCGCCACGAATCACAGATGGCTATTTAGTGGCCCTATAATGCTGCAACACATCAGCTTGCATTTTAGTCTTAATTATTTGTTTCTTGGATAATGGGCAGAGTTTTCTGTATTTGTGTCAGCTGTTAGTGGTGAAATAGGGCTCTAGTTAACCTTTTATTTATGAAGTCTAATTTAGTGTTCCCGTGGCTAGTTGCAAGCATTTTACAGTGATCACCCAGTTTAATCTTTTGTATATTTTTTAGAAATGCCAAGAGCCTTACTAAACTGGAGCAGATTTATGATATAGTGATAATTTAGGTAGATGTTAGTCTTGAAGCTCTTATTTTGTGTGCAACTGATTATCAAAACATCTTAACCAAGTATTATTACACACATGATATCTATAACTAGGACTTTGATAACTGTTATATAAAGTGTGTAAAATTTGTATGAATAAATTTTTGTAAACAATGCAACTTGGTCTAATGTTTGGAGAAAAAAGACATTCAGGAAATAACTACTTTAAAATCTTTTAAAGTACTATATTTCTTTAGCAGTCATAAGATTTTTCATGTCTGGAATATCTATGTAAGCATCCACATATTTTCAGAAACTGTACTCTGATATCTGCTTGATGGGTTACTGGATTCAACTAAAAATTTAAAATAGCTGTTCAGACGGAGAAGCCTAAGAAGACATTAAGCTCATAAATAGGCATGGATGTTGGAACATTTATAAGACATACTTTAATTTCCATCCCCTAGTGTGTATACACATTGCTCCATATTCAGAAAGTTACTAGGGAGTGGTGGCAGACAATACTGGAGTATTAGTTATACTTCTAAAATAGCTATCTAACATTGTTCTTTTTACAAGTAACTGTATACTAAATGGGTCTTGATAAAATTTTGTATGAAAATGATTGACATCAGTTTTGGAGGTTTAAAAATGTGTTCAGAGATACACAAAGTTGTCTCTGACTAACATGTTGTAGGTAGATGGAACAAGAACTTGATAAAATAAGGAGTTAACTAGATAGACACCTTTAAAAGAAAATGTATTTTGTCAGGTATGGTGATGCATGCCTGCAATCCAAGTGGATTGGGAGGCTGAAGCAAGAGGATTGCAAATTTGAGGCCAGCCTCTGCAGTTTAGGGAGGCTTTGAGAAACTTAGACAGACCCTGTCTCAAAAAAAAAAAAAAAAAAAAAAAAAAAAAAGCTGGGGAGGTGGCTCAATCCTGGGTTCAATCCTCAGTCCCCTCACAAAAAAAAGTCATTTGTGAATTAGTTTTTAAAATTTAAAGGAACTTTTCAAACAAAGCCTTCACATGAAATTCCCATAAATTCCCAAGTGGTGTTTATTTTGGAGCCCTCAACTATTTCTGGGTTTAAAAAAACATTGTACTGAAAAACACTTTAAGTCTTATCATTTAATTTAAAATGTCCTAACTTGAATTCTAAAAATGTATTCAATTAATAAATCAATAAATATGTCACAATAGTATTGAAGGAACAGCAAGGGTTCAGAAAGTATTTTTAGAGCTCAGCAGTTGAGGCCCAGAATCATATAGGGAGGAATCCATAATAGAAATCCCATTTGTAGTCAATTTTTAAAAAAATGAATATAGTCAGTTCACATTTACATTGGGTTTTATTGGATAAGGAGTTTGTCTTCCCCATTTTAGCCTGCCCCTCTCCCTGCCATGTAGTCCTCCTATGGTAAATGGGAAAATGAAGAAACATAATTTATTTGCTTGAAGGATAATGACTTGTCAAGAAAATAAAGATAAGCCCCAGACTTGACTAATACCAAGTGAAGTTCATATATCTGGCAAGTTGCTATATTTTCTTACGTGGGATAACTCCAATTATGACTTTTCTTAGGAAGACGATGTAGTATTCAATAATCCATGATATGTGCCTTATTGCTGCTGAGGCTGGGAACACACTGATCCAACCCAATATAAATTTATCAAACAACCTGAAATGGGCCAGGCAGGCTGATAGAAAGAGCTTGACTAACCCCTGGGAGGAAGGTAGTATTTTTCTGTAACAGTCATCTGGGAGATTTACTAACAATGCAAATTGTAGGGTTCCATCAGAACCAGTGAATCTGCATTTTCAACAAAACTCTACATGAATATGCACGCAAATTTGAAACTACCTAGATTTTAAATTTGGTGATATACATAGGCACCTATATATGCTGAGGCTGGATGTTTTTTTCATATTGAATAAGTAACACTTCACTGTCCCAGCACACAGGAGTAAATATACTAGTAAGCCACATTCTCCCAGAATGGACATTAGGCTCTTGGACAATTGCAGTATTTCCTTCAAGTCATTAAGGTCACTAGTTAGTGTTATTTTTCTTCTACATTCTAGTTGGACCTCTCTGTTACAGGCACTTTTGGAAGGAGAATGACCCTCCAGGGTATAAACTATTCCATCACATGACTTGGGAAAAATCAATGCTATCATGGAGAGAACCTGCACAGCTAGCTGGCATTAGTTCTGGGGATCCAGAAGTCAACTTCCAATTGCATTATGTCCCAATGTTCACAGAGTGATTTTGCTTAGATGCCCCACTGTGGCCTTGAACACAATCCTGTTCACGCTGTTAACAGGATTAGAAACCAAGATGGAGCTGGGCCTCTTCTCTTTCCTTGTTATCCTTCTTTGGAGAAGGGAGATGTCTGCTTCCCTGGCGGCTGCCTCTTGCCTACCACTGGGTTCTTACATTGGTTTGTAGCTGATCATCAGGGCCTTGCTCATTTCCCCTTCAACCAGGTAGCTTTAACTTCATATTCCTCTGATGAGATATTTCAGAATAGCCTCCTTTGTTGTAGGGTTTAGGTTCTTTGCTTATCAGTCTTTCCTGTCTGTTCTTCAGTACAATCCTGTATCTTTAGAAAGACAGGTTCTTGTCAGTCTTTGAAATGCAGATGCACATTTCCAACTCCCGACAATCTCCCATACCTGGAACTTCTTCTTACTTCCCCAAGATCAATATTCTTTCAGGTTCAATAATTCAAGTCCTCTTTTTCTAGGAATCTCTCTCAGAGTCATCATCATATCCACTCCCCCACATCAACCCTTGCACTGTTTTTCTGTATTGCCATTTCTGATATTTATTTATTTATTTTTGCAGTACTGAGGATTGAACCTGGGGTGCTTTACCACTGAGCTACTATCCCTATTCCCTTTTTATTTTGAGGCAGGGCCTTGTGACTTTGCTGAGGCTGGCCTTGAACTTGGAATCCTCCTACCTCAGCCTCCCCAGCCACTGGGATTACAGTGTGCACCACTGTGCCTGGCCTGATCTTTAATTTCACACTCTTCTGCCCTATTTCTTAATTGTTTCATAAGTGCTTATCAGGTCTCTAGCTAGATGACCTCTTGGAGGGCATGGATGATATATTGTACTTTGATGCCCAATACACTGTGAGAACATAAGAAATATCTTTCTTGAGTGAATAAATGAGCCAGAAGACGTGCAAAATTCACCATGACATTTCCTTCATGTTCTAATAGGACAGCTGCAAAGCATATATAGGAAGTAAAATGAACTTATTAATTAGGTGTTCATCAAGAATCTAACTTGATATCCCTTTAGGAAAAGCTACATAGAAAAGAATGGCAAATTAATTAGGTATATTTCTGCAACAGGATAAAATGAACTTTAAAGCCACATGTAGGCAAAAGGCTGCAATAAACTCAAGTCACACAAGTCTTTATTTTCTCATTCTAATAAGGAAGGATTATATTTTCAAATTAAAGAGAATTCACCTTATGCCTCAAGACAGTAATACTTCTTCCTAGAATAAAAGAAAAGGGATATCTTGAAACACAGACTGGGAACTGGACTGCTCTCAAAGTGATAATTAGCAGAGCAGTTATGTATAGCTGCCTAAGAAATGTCCCCCATCAACTGAAATATAATTTGAAGCAAGGATTCATAGACAGGAAAAAGGACATAATGGAACAATATTTTTTAAAGAAACAGTTTAGCATTGTAGTAGGTGATGTCATGTGGTCCAAGTTAATTTTCTTCTTAGCTATGTCTTTGCTATGTATTACAGAATCCTAAATCAAGGAGGAATATTACCGATAAACCACAAAGAGAATAATATGACATGTATCTGTGCACATTTCCCTTTCTCTTTTTTTTTCATTTGTTCTAATTAGTTATACATGACAGCAGAATGCATTTTGTTTCATTGTACACAAACGGAGCACAACTTTTCATTTCTCTAATTGTACACGATGCAGAGTCGTTCCATTTGTGCAATCATACTTGTACCTAGGGTAATGATGTCCTACTCTTTCCACCATATTTCCTATCCCATACCCCCTCCCCTCTTCTACCTTCCCTTTGCCCAAGCCAAAGTTCTTCCATTCTTCCCATGCCCCCTCCCCCTAGTATGAATCAGCGTCCACTTACCAAAGAGAAAACTCAGCCTTTGGTTTTTTGGGATTGACTTACTTCGCTTAGCATGATATTATCCAACTCCCTTTCTCTTAACTACCCTGATTCTTGTTTGGTTAATCACACGTCCTTCGTGCAGGTTTTATGGAGATTCTAACTCCACTTCTAGTTATAACCAGTCAGGATAATTGTATCCTCTGACTATATTTCATAGCTTGGCATGTGATTCATTTTAGGATGGTGAGATTAGAGAGGAATTTTTTTTTCTGGAACCTTCCAAAAAAAGTATTCTTTCTTTTCTTCTGAATGGTATGGTGTGTAATGTAATGCACCACATAAGAAACCTCACAGTGGAGCTGACACTGTGCTTCCACAGGAGTGACAGGAAAAGATGTCCCTGACAACATCCCTGAGACCCTGAATCAAACCAAAACCCGAAGCTAGGACTTCCTCTGGACTTTCCTGTAAAATAAGTCAATAAATCCCCTTCATTGCTTAAGCCAGTATTTTTTTTTTTTTGGTAATATCAGGGCCTGTGTTTCAAGTGGAAAGCCAACTCTAACAGGCTTAATGTCTTTTCTTTAGAACATAGGAATGTGTTAAGACTGGTCTGCAGAGTTTCTAGTGTCCCAGTGTTCCAAAGCCTTCCTGCCCTATGATAACATTTTACTTTAACATTTCTTTCTTTCTTTTTTTTTTTTGGCAATGCTGGGGATTGAACCCAGGGCTTTGTGCATGTGAAGCAAGCACTCTACCACTGAGCTATATCCCTAGCCCCTTACTTTACCATTTCAATATTTAAATATTTACAATACCTAGAAATGAACCCTGGTAACTGTTTAACTATAATGGGAAATAGCCTTTTCCCATCAAGGATACTTCTTGGAACCACTAGTGCCTCAGAAGGGGTCTACACTGAAACTTTGTTTGAAGTTCTGCTCTCAGTACAAACTAGTTTCACTGCTGTCATTCCCTAAACACCCTTGAGTTTTGATGCTTTAAAACTCAATAGAGCTGGGGACAGAGGCCT